TTACATCTGGAAAACCACGTAAGAACAAATTAAAAGTATTTTAAAAGAGACCAGGTTGTTTAAAAATCCTAAACGAATGCTAAAAATCGTCAAAACATTCTGGTGCCTGAGCCAGAGTGCCATCGAATTGCGATGTAATGTAAACAAAAATTATAGCAAGTTGATGTCAGTCAGCTTAGATGGTCCAAGCCAAAATTATATCGCATTTGAAGTTTCAAACTGAGTTAAAAATAGTGGAAGAAAAGCCGTAATTATACTTATTGTTACAATCCATTTAATAAAATGCAACATTTTTTTTGTTTTAATGAAAAAACAGTTATTTTCATGAGAACGATTTGTTATTCCATCTCAATTTTTTTAATCTCCAATCGCAATAACGTAAAGTATTAATGCGAAGGTGAGAACTGTACTACAATAATCGTAGAATTATTTGTAATTTTCGGTCAGTTTGGATCATACTTGTGTACCTCACTTGAGTTACGTTATGCTACTAAAAACAGCACGTGATTGAAACCCAAGAATTTAATACTTTGCTCAGCGACGTAAAGTACGTCGAATACGATCCAAACTGACCAAAAAATTACAAATAATTATATGATTATACGGTAGTACAGTTCTCACCTTCACATAGAATAGCGGCTAAAGACAGAAACCTCACATACTGCAGTCGCCAATCGCCATTTTTTTATTATTATTATTATTATTTTATTATTATTCATGTTTAAGAATATTCACCATCGCATAAATTTGAATTGCGGTGAATTTACAACTAAGTATTTAATTACTATATTAACAATAATAAGGATTAACTGAGAGTTAAAATGTATTAAAATGTTACTTTGTACTTATATAAAATCTGTATCTAAATGTTGCTACTGTCATTAATTAAAAATAGCCACAGTGCTCGGAAAGAAGCTGCGGCGGTACCGTTCTGTTCTGCATTTAATCGTAGTTAATGCATTAGAATTTCTTAGGTTGTTATGCAGGATATTTAGTTTCAGAGACCTAAAATTCAATACTTTTACCTAGCAGCATGCCCAGGACGCCGAGGAATTGTGAATTATTTTGGAATTACTTTGAACAATATTGCATCATTTATTAAACACAGTCCGTCAAAATGCTGTTTATTAGTCGTATTTAGAAAATTTACTCTTCCGTAGACTGTAGTCGTCTGTTACTCGTCTGTTACTCACAACCAATTTGCTTTTCGATTTGAAGTTTATATTCTTGAATAATGGGATTGATGGACAACCATGTCCCTTGAAATATCTTTTAGATTTGCACATCCTATAATTATAAACAAAACAAAAGCTACCTTGCATGTAAAACTATAGGATTCGCAGATTCAGAGAGACCTACATCTATCTGAATAAAGGAAACAGTAGCGAATTTAGTTTGAATCTCACCCGTTAGGCCCATTGCTAATTTAAATTCTTCTTTGAAGATCTGAAGAACTTTATACACGCCTTCCTCTCCCTAAAACACCCAGCAGAAAAAACAGCATTAACCTTGACAGTTGCAGTATACTGATCTGGAAATAAAACTATAGGTTGAGTATAAATTGTGTTAAAAACCTCGCTGGTCATTACTATCGGACAAAAAAAAAGGAAAAAAGAAAAGTAAAGTCTACAAGGAAGTTTAAACTGAATAAATGCATTAATAGAGAGAGCTTTTATTTTGTAAATTGCAGTGTAAGCCGGTTTTCATATTCATGTTGACAGTTGACCCCTGGTTGACCGCGCTCTCCGTGTGCATGAAAAGACTGGGATTGGCCTTCAAGTTTGGCTTCAAATTTCCGGTTGGAGGTAGCGTTCCAGCTTTATTCATTTCACTGTGGTATACTTACTTGATAGGCTAAGCCCCATAACACAGGTCTTCCTACAAACACAGCCCTTGCACCCAAAGCTAAAGCCTTGAAAACGTCTGTACCATATCTGATACCGCCGTCTAAGTACACTCAAATTAATAGTCAGTTTTAGTCACGTTTTTGGAAAATGTGTTGGATTAGCCATTTATGTAAATTTGGCACAGCAATAGCGCAATGATCTGATCTTCCAACCATGCAGTCACTCATTCTAGTTCTGACTTATATGTGTTATAGCATTGTATGCATATATCCTATTAAGATGCAATGCACCCTAATATGCCTAACAAGCCCTGGTTAATTAGTTTCTTAATTAGTTAATTATCTCTCTCTTGAATGGGAGACTCGACCTACAGTAGCTATCTGTTCAGGTCACAGGGGGTCCAACTAAGAGCTGTGTTATGAATATGAATAAAACATTAATTAAACGTAATATGAATAAAACATTATAACGTAATATATTTAAATTATTGCACTTACTTGTATAAATCATAAGAGCTTGCCTTTGCACTGAATAGTTTCAAACAGAGCGCTTATATATCAATATATATATGCTCAGAATGATTGCTTCGAAAGATTGTTCAAATATGGCGAATAAATTGACAAAACGAAAATATTACATGACGTTCCAACGAAAATAACAGCAGGGATTGCGGGCGCGCGAGCAAAAGGCGAGGGAAGAAATAAATAGAACAACCTCGTCCCCAGGGTCTTCTTCGTACATGGCGCGTGAAAAATGAGAAGACCCTGGTAAAGGCTGCGAAAATCTCCACGATTCATGGACATTTTAGTGCATGCGCGAAAGCGAATTTGCCTTGGCGCTGACCAATTCATTGCTGGCGTACAAATTTTTCATGGCCTTCTTGAGATGAAATATTTCAGTTTGGAAATGTATTTTTTTGCTAAAATATACCTTTAGATAAGTAATTTCTCTTCAAAAATAAAGATGTCTAGAGAGAGAAAATAACAAGAAGCTAGCACGTCTAATTTTTATCTTCCTGGCCGAAGAATCCGCGTTGTTTGTGATGTCTCACGGCTGCTTGCACTGGCAGTCTGACAGCACTGTCACTGTGAAGGTAATTGAAAAATTACAATATATTATTTTTATTCATATTATAATTCAACAATAATGGCCCTATGACTGGTGCTAATATGCCTACAAAGTATTTTTTTAAAGCGCTTAGTTTTGAGAAATTATAATTTGATATAAATGAAAATTTACTAGTGGGCCATCCATAGACTCATCACTAATCCATTTTACACTGTGAACGTTGCACTTGTTCAAGTTATTTTGACTAAAAGTTATCGCATGTTAATAAATACTCTAGTATATAATAATACTGTAATTTATAGTTTATTCCCTTGGAGCATGCAAAGTGCTTACATGTGGAATAATTTGCCTTAGATCCACAGCTCTCACATAGGAGATTAGAACTCCCATAATTCCTTTTACACATCCTAGTACATTTTACTATTCTAAAAGTGCATTTCCCCATCCCTTTTCAGACAGCAGAAATTTCATTTGTATTGCAAGTTTATATTGTGCACTGAATGGTGAATCAGTAAAACTAAAAGATTGCCAACCAGTTTAGAGATAGTTTTGTTCAAATGTAACTTATGTCATAAGTATGTTTCTCCCTCAATTAGAATAAATCTACTGTTAATAAATTAATTGGATAGATTTAGTGTAACATATAGATTTAGGTTTCCAGTTTGTGAAATGAAATGCAAATCAATTGTATTATATTTTAGATATTCATGCTTCTCAAACATCAATACGGATAAAACAAGGACTGTCAAGAAGACTGCAACTGTATATGTACAACTTAATGGGGATGGGAGTTGGTCTTCACATATAGGAATGTTGATAATATTAATGAGATTATTAAGAAAACCACAAAGTCAACAACTATCCTAGATTCCATAATATTAGGAAGCTGGCTCAACTATACTTAATATTCTGGTAATACTCAAGAAAGTGACATGGCAATTCAACAATGCATATACAACAGAAAGAGATATTTCCATACCAAGACAATTCTTACTGAATTAGTATTTAGCTGATATTTCATTTTTTACAGTATTTAAAGTTATATACAGTGCTGTTTTAAGTTAAATAACAAAGTTACTTGGTTCAAAATCTGGTCTTTGTTTTTCCTTCTCTGTACTATGCAAGGGTAGAGAAAAGAGGTGGTAATATGCATCCTCACATGCGGCTGTAGGAACTCTCACTCATATGGAAAACGAATTGGATCATTCCAGAAAAGATCCATACTCCCCCCACGGAGGAAATTTCTGCCGTCCGGAGGGGGAGGGGAGAAAAAATTGTTTCTGATAATAGTAAATGTATTAGGACATCCAAAGGGGGTTAACTTCCTATTTCCTCTGTGGGGGTGGTATGGATGTTTTCTGGAATGACCTATTCTCAGTCATTTCAAAAAGTAAGCCTTGGAGCTTTTTGGAAATTGATTTCATTCATGCTTCAACAACCGATCTCCTGCATGTACATCATTGCAAAATGTGCAGCCAGCCTGCAATGTCCAAACCACAGTTGTCCACAACATTTGTTCTCATTGAGCTGTCCATTGATGAGGAAGTGTAGTGTGGAGACAAACAATTTTGATTTGGCTGCATTTATTTGAACACTTGCTTTATTATACCTCCCTCACTGATTCAATAGTTGCTAATGTAAATTTGTACTAGCTCTGCAGGACAGATGTGTTCAATTTTTCCTATACGGTATGGAATAAAGATCATGCTGTTAGTGTTACATGCAGGCAAATGGTAATTCACAATGATGTAAAGGCTAATGAAATTCAATTATGGGTTGTCCATAACTACCAACATTTCCTGAAGTGTAGAAACTATACGCTTCAGGTAGGCAGGTTCATAACCACTATATGCTTTTTAAATGTTGAACTATAGACCCACCATCATTGGTTAAGTCGCTGTGGGAGGGGGTTGAAAAGTGTACTCTCTGTACACCTGTGATAATTATGGATGATTTACAGTGTAACACTAATGCTAGATTTAACTGAAAATAATTTTATAGTTATGTTGAATATATTTGAAATGTTCCATTTGTGGAGGTCAGTGGCATATATTCTTGTGGAAAATTCAAGTAGCTGTGCTCCAGCAGCTAGCTCACTAGCTGCAGTGCCACAAATTATTGACATAACCAAAATTTTAATATTGCATGGGATCTTTATAGATTCGCTTTTATATATTTCCTGGTGTCCTATGAGCCCAGCAAGAACTGCTTACTTTATTATTATAATTTAAACATGTAACAATTAAGCTATACAAACAGCAATCGTTCTGTGCGTCTATTTCTGCTATAAAAATGCATATTCAGCTGAGACTGATATTAAACTGTCACTTGAAGCAGACAAGAGGTGTTCGTATTAAACAAGTGGTAGTATTTGAGAGAAACTAGAACGTCACAAACGCAAATGGTTCTGTGGTTTGTTTGATCATACAGTGTGTGTGTATATATTCATACCTTCGATAACGATGTGAACATTAGCTGTCTCAACTTTGAAGTACCAAAATGATGTCTATATTTATTCACACTACGATGTCCATTATATATTGTGCCTGATATTAGGCTGAAAGTTGGAAAATATTTGCCAGAAACAAGCTTCGCGCCTTGGCGAAGCATGCATTTTACTGTAAAGCAAATTATTGTTGTGAAAATCCTTATAAATCATGCAACCAATCGTAGCGCTCATTACAAGAAGTATTTAGCGGTAAACCAATCATATTCATTGTAACAACATCCTCAAAGCACATGTCAAGGTCAAATGTATAAACCAATCACAACGGAGTTTAGAAGAGCCTTTACCAGGGTCTTCTCATTTTTCACGCGCCATGTACGAAGAAGACCCTGGGGACGAGGTTGATAGAAGGGATGAAACAAATATCACGTGACTTTTTAAAATGCTTCTAGACTATCCGTTTAAGCTTTTTGTCGGGTTTTTAAGGCTCAGTCGATGTTCTCTTACATGAACAAGCCTAGTCATTACCAAAAAAGCACTGATCAATCTAATTTATGTGATTTATAACAGCGAGCATTCTTGGCCATTATCGCGAGATGTGTTCCATAAGTAGCCTGTTCTCGTGACGTATGACGAAATAATAATAAAACTAAATAATGTAAAAAAAAACGTTGGTCGCTACATTTAAACAATTCATATTAGCCGGTATAGCTAAACATTGTTTATTTTCATTAATTAAGCGCTTAGGCGTTGTTGGAGTTGGCAGGAGGCGTTTTGGAATTTTCCGAGAGAACAGGCTACTTATTACCCTGGATTCCAGAGCCTTCGACAGTAAATAATAAATTGAAATGTCGCGAAGGCTCTGGTTCAACGGGGCGATTCTTTGATTAAGCCGCGCCAATCACGAAACAGAATTAGTGGTTTTAGTACAGAATCTGTACTAAAACCACTAATTCTGTTTTGTGATTGGCGCGGCTTAATCAAAGAATCGCCCCGTTGAACCAGAGCCTTCGCGACACTTCAATTTATTATTTACTGTCGAAGGCTCTGGAATCCAGGGTAGCTACTTATGGAACACATCACACGATCGCATTACCGGTGTTTCATCCCTTCTATTAATATCTATTACCCTCGCCTTCCGCTCGCGCCCGCAATCCCTGCTGTTATTTTCGTTGGAACGTCATGTAATATTTTCGTTTTGTCAATTTATTCGCCATATTTGAACAATCTTTCGAAGCAATCATTCTGAGCATATATATATTGATATATAAGCGCTCTGTTTGAAACTATTCAGTGCAAAGGCAAGCTCTTATGATTTATACAAGTAAGTGCAATAATTTAAATATATTACGTTATAATGTTTTATTCATATTACGTTTAATTAATGTTTTATTCATATTCATAACACAGCTCTTAGTTGGACCCCCTGTGTTCAGGTCTCTTGTTAAAACAAGCCCTGCTTTACATTGTCACTGGGGCGATAATCATGTTGTTACTGAATCTGAAAGAAAGATCTGAGTATAGTTTAGTAGTTCATGCACGTTTCCTCCTGTCGTAATGTATTATTCCAATCTTTCTAATGCCAGACGATTTAATCGTAAGCGAAGACGCTTAGACATCAATTGGTTAGGCATCAATAAGCATAGGATAATATGGAATCATGCAGTAGCGCCGCCAGGATTTTATTTGGGGGGGGGGGACTTAATAATTTGAAAGTGAGTCACAATTCCTCGGCGTCCTGGACATGCTCCTAGGTAAAAGTATTGAATTTTGAGTCTCTGAAACGGAATATCCTGCATAATTTGTGGAGGCACCTGCAGGTCTTAATAAATCACCTTGTTATATAGCTACTGTGAACACCAAACGTGATTGGCTGATTTGTAGTCACGTGGCTTTAGATAAATGCAATGTATCCCGCCCGGGCAATAAGTGAAAAATTGTTGCCCGCCCCGACACAGAATAGGAAGTTATACCAGAAGCGTAACTCGAGCAAATATTTGTCCGCGTTTT